CAATTGTGAGGCTGGCGTGGGACTGGTCAGTGTTCCATTCCGTTGTTCATAGGGTCGCTATGAGTTGGAACTCACTCAAAAGCACCTAAGAACAATAACAACAATGAAATAAGTGATGTAGACAGTAATGATCAATGAATCCTAAACATTTTAAAAATCAAGTGAAAAGATTGCAAGGAATTTTATAATCCGTGGATCAAGTTCACCCCACCTAAACCCACTGATAAATCTTAGTAAAACATAAATAAAAAGATTTAGCCATCATGCACATACTGAGATGCAAGAGGAGGCACAAACTATCACTTATGAAGCATTTAAAGAGTTTTATTGATATAATTCACAGCGTACATTTAAGTAATTCTGTTTTATTCAAAATAGTTGTACAATCATTAATAAATAATTTTAGGATATTTCTTCTTCCTTGTACATTATTGTTAGTTCTCCATCTCCCCCCACCACCACCAACCTTCCCTGCATGCCCCTTAGAAACTATTGATCCACTTGCTGTATCTATCGATTTACTTATCCTGGACTTCATATACAGAAAAGCATACAAAACCAACCCAATAACAATGACAGTAAAACAAATACAAAAGCTGGAATAAATCACATTGGATCAAAAGTGAGATCAAATGACAAGGTGTCTTTTTTTAAAAGATACCCGTTGTCCAGCATCATTATGAACCTATCGGGAAGATCCATCAAAAATCCTTTAAAATTCCGTTCCAAGAAGCCTTTCTCACAGAGGTATTGTTGCCCTGTTCTGGTAGACAATGTAGCTGCTTATATTTATTCCTTTTTGTATCGACCAGGAAATATATACATTTGTAGCTTAATTTTTATAAGTATGTTACTAAAATTCATTCATCATGGTATGAATATCTGTAGCCCAATTATAGTCTGTTGACTCCGTCCAATCTGTCCATATTTCCCTGATCCTAGAAGAGAGGTGCCCTGGTGGCATAGTGAGTTACATGTTGGCTGATAACTGCAAGGTCAGCAGTTTAAAATCACCAGCCACTCTGCAGGAGAAAGAGTGAGTTATAATCCAGAAAACTCACAGGGGCAGTTCTACTCTGTCCTATAGGGTCCTTATGAGTTTGAATCAACTCAATGGCAGTGAGTTTTTTCCCCTGTCTGGGTGATTCTGACTCATAGCAACCCCATAATGAAGAGTTGAATGTCCCTGAAGTCCTCTCTGCTTCACGTCACACAAGCTACAGTGGCCCTCCTCAGCCAGGGCCAGGGGGCACTGGGGAGAGTTCCTGTTAGCTGACATGTACATGCAGGGCCTCGGCCCTTGGGCTCTCTTGCTGACAGCTCCCCTCTTCTCAGGAGACTGAAGCCAGGCTGGCCCTGGGGACTGAACTAGAACTGCTGGGATGAGGCAGGCTAGGGTTGGACAGAAAATCCTGAGGTTGCTGCTCAGGGGTCTGGCCCAGGGATTCTAGGTGCAGAGGCACCTAGCAACCCTGAAAAGACAGTGTCCACGTGATTAATCATGCCACCTTCACCCCCACAAACACTTCCTGGAGGCACCAAGGGCAGCTTGCTGTGCTGGATCAAACTTCAAACCAAAAAGAACAAACAAGCAAACAACTAACTCTAGTTAATAATCACAGTGGAGTGGGGAAACGATGACAATATTTGGACTAAAATTGGTGCAGATAGGAGCCCCAAATCTTTAACATTTTGTCAGGGAAAAATGAAGTTACTTTGAGGTATAGGTTTCAAAATAAGTGTGAATATTTCTCCCTTAAATAGTGAGGAAAAAATGCATGAGACGATACCTGTAAAGTAAGCATTAAATACCCATCAATACCCATTGCCATCGGGTCAATTCTGCCTCACCGTGACTCCATGTGGCAGAGTAGAACTACCCCGTAGGGTTTCTGTGGCTGTAAATCTTCATGGAAGCTAACCACCACATCTTCCCCCCACGGGGCAGCTGGGACTTCAAACCACTGACCAAGTGCCTAACCACTGCGACACCATGGCTTCTTAAGTGTTGAACAAACCAAACTCACTGTCATCAAGTCAGTCCCAAATCCGAGTGACCCTGTAGGACAGAGTAGAACTGCTCCTGGGGGTTTCCAAGACTATATCTTTATGGGAGTAGAAAGCCTACTCTTTCTCCCACAGAACAGCTGGTGGGTTAGAACTGCTGAACTTGAGGTTAGCAGCCCAATGCATAACCCATTGCAATAAAGTACCATGAACTGTTAAAAGGACAAACTGATATGTCTTGGAAGAAGTACAGCTAGAGTGCTCTTTAGAACAAGGGTGGTGAAACTTCATCTGACATACTTTGGTAGATTGTCAGGAGAGACTAGTTCCTGGAGAAGGACGTCATGTTTGGCCAAGTGGAGGGGCATCGAAGGAGGAGAAGGCCCTCAAGGAGATGGATTGCCACAGTGGTTACAACTATGGGGCAAGCACAGGGACAAGTGTGAGGATGGCGCAAGGACCAGGCAGTCTTCCTTCTGTTAGGCCATCGTGTCAGACCAACTCCATGTCATCTGACAACAACATTCTTCTTCTTTTTTTTTTAATCGTTTTGTTAGGGGCTCATACAACTCTTATCACAATCCATACATACATCAATTGTGTAAAGCACATTTGTATATTCACTGCCTTCATCATTCTCAAAACATTTCCTCT